GGAAAGGGACAAAGAAAATCCCTTTTCTCAGAAGTATGGAAAGGCAGAGAAACAGCCGTCCACATTTAAAGTGGTTCCAATAAATAGTTCTACACTGAACATAAAAGCAAAATGTTTCAAGAAGACAGGCACTGATGGTTCACTAGATAACAGATTAGTTTGCTCCGAAGGTTAGAATACCACTTGGAATCTGGATTCTCATCTTGTAACTTTTGTGGCAAAATGGTACTAAAGGACTAATTACAAATTTCTGTCCCAAGTGTATTTACCTTTAAAGACGGTTACTATGTTCGAAGGAAATGATAAAATAACCTGCCTGCCCCCTACATACTTGCCTTTCCCCAGAAAAACATTACAAGTGGCTTTCAAACGGAAAACATTAGAAGTTCACATCCCACACTGTACCTTAAAGTCTGTGTTGTTTACATGTTCAAAAACCAAAGCGGGTGTCCGAGACTGAAACAGAGAGAAAAGTTTTCAGCCATGTTAAGTTGAGACAATATGTTTCCATTTAGGATAACAAATTAAACCATTTTTACCCCTAAAACTGCTAGAAGCCCCCTGCCTCAGACATACTTGTGATTCCCCCTCAGACAGAGAAAGCAGAGCCAAAGCCTGCAGCCCCTGGCAGCACTGTTTGTAGAACGAATTAACTTGTCTCAGTTCACTGGTATCTCATCCTTACAAAGTGAGGGGCTGAAGGGACCTGTGGGGGAAGGGCCCTCTAAAAGAAGTTAATCAGATTAAGAGCTGATCTGATTAAGCAATTCAAAAGCAGGATTTAAGAGCAGGGGAAAACAAAAAGCCAGATCAGAGCTGAAGTCAAACACAGCAACTTCACCCATAACCCCAGTGTGCCCTTTAAGTTCCTTCCATACTCACCACAGGATCTTTTACTATATCTGCAAGAGTAATTATATTGGGACCGCCTCGCAAGTTCTCTAAGATCTTGATTTCACGCTTGATTTTCTTCTTTTTAACGGGCTGAAGAATAAAAACCCGAAGTGTAAGACAAAGAGCTCCAATAAAGTGAGGCCAATAGACAGCTCAACGTCCAGATGACAAAGGTAGGTGACTGCAAGTCAGCAAAATACATCAGAGCCGTTGCAATTTAAGTTCAAATAGCTAGACCTTGTTATTACCCGACTATGCATCATTCCAGTAAGGGCTCAAATATCTACAGTCTCCTTTCTAACCATAAAACCCCAACAGCTACAAACATTAGTTTAATGTGAATAAGGGTTAGGAAGATGGCTTTTTTTTTTTTAAAGCTGTCTGAACATGATCTGATAGTCCAAAACTTCTTAATCAGCATGTGGTAAATGTGTAACTATGAGAAGTCCATGAGCTCTCTGAGGGCCACTAAATGAAAGTATTTCACCAATGAAGTCCATGGAATAACCAGCATCCAGGAGACCCTTACTCAGCCTGGAAGGATATTACGTATGCGATGGAACATGCAGAGCAGAAACCAAAATTTTAAGGTTGGCAGTTCCTAAATCTAATCAGTGGCTTTAAAGGACAATGATCTCATTAGCTCATAGGCCTGTATGCACACGACAGCCTGCCAGGGCACTGGTAGTTAGAGGAGGTGAGAATTTTCTAGTCAGCTTTTGAAAGGTTGCTTAGCTCCAAGTGAAAAAGTGTTGCACATCAAGACTTCTTTAAGATAGAGGCTAACTCCTTACAGGCAGAGATTTGACTTAATAACCAAGTATAGGGTTTCTATTAGGAGCCTCAAAATGATGGTCCATCTCCCTGAATGACACTCCAAAGCCAGGCTTTAAGAATTTCAGTTTTAGAACATCGAACATTTTAGACAAAATGCTGCACTTTCCAGCCTCCTAATCACCTCAAGACAGATTTTTATCTTTTGCCCAATCCCCAGCTCACCTTGAGAATTTTAACAACTACTTTTTCATTATTTGTAATGTTGATGGCTTCAAATACTTCACTGTATTTGCCTCGGCCTAATTTTCGAACTAGCTGGTAGTCATCTTGATTTCTGTGGAGATAAAAAATTAAGAGTTCAAAAGAGCTTAGTAATTTCTATCACAATTTACAAACCTCTCCTTAACACTAAATCACTGCCTCACCTTCCAGACAAGGTGGATTAACAAGTATCTTACATCTCCTGAACACAATCATTAAGAATTAGGAGAGAAACAGGGAGCTTCTATGCGCTTAAGTTGGAGTTGACCCAGAACTTACTTCTTCTGCAGTAGGTAACATAAGCCCAACTATGCATTTCAGCATCAGCAAACTCAAGCTATCCCTTCCACGGGCCTCTCTATATTTGGAAGCTGTGTTTTCCCTTGTATAATGTTGTTACAAGTCAACAAAGCCATTAAGACCGAAAATTTAAGTGCTAGCCTGTTTAAAAACAGACTAGCCACTTCTGCTCAAAAGACTGTGTACATTTCAGAGACCAGGAACTACAACAAAGCTGAGAGCAGAACTTAGTCTGGGGCCTGCTATACAAAAGCAGGAACGCAGAGCTACCAAGCTGGCATCATTGCTCTCTGATTCTTGGACGGTTTAGTCATGAGCTCAATTTAGGCACCTCCTTCCTTCAAAGAAGCAGACGTGTCTTTTCCAGTCACTCACAGAGAGCTGAGCTTCAAGTCACAAAATAGCATGTACCTATTTAAGTCTGCTGAGTCTCTTCACTCATCTGAGTCAGAAGCAATTTCAGATGTCTTCTCACTTTTTTTCGGACCTGCACCCAGGGTTGTTTAGATTGTTTCAGAAAAAGTTTTCTTCCCTCTGAAAGGGGACATTTTCTGACCACCTGGCAAAAATTCTTCAAACCAAACTCTTAAGGGAGCTGCCAAAAATGTTCTTGCACTTCTGGAGATTTAAAATTTTGATAAGAAACAGTGTTCTGAAGAAAAGTTGTGACCCTAACACTTGCCACGCACACTAGACATGTGCCAAAGAGCATGAAAAAGCCTAATGCAGCACAGGTGCCTGAACTCCCCATGCACTCCCCAATCCTACAGGGATTGATCCTGGTCCAGGGACATCCATAAGCAGTCCAGACACTTACCCCCACTCAACAACATGCGACTCATAGTCCCAGTACTCCCGAGGTCTGTGTGTGTTCACATCCGTGTAAACTCTGGCCCTGCTCGGCACGGGTCCCGACATATCAGACAGGTTGGCAGGCGGAAATGATGAGATGTCTGAAACCAGAGGCTACCCGAACTGCAAAGCTGGACAGAAGATAAAGGCCTCAGATTCTTCCAACTGCAGAAAGAAAACAAACGAGAGGTTAAAATCTCAATATACAATAAAAATATTTAAGTTAATCATTAAAAGCTGCTGAGAAGGAGAGGCTGGAGCCCAGCCACGGGCCTGGGATCACTTGTTAGAGCCTGAAAACAATTTGTCTGCTCTCCCTCACACAGGATAGGACCACTTGGCCCCACTCCCAAAAGTAACACATCCCCCCTTGCAACTTAAAATACGTAGTTTCCAACTTATCGTTGCAAAGATAACCTTCCAAAAGGGAAGAAATGCAACACGCTCAATATCTACAGACAGACTCTGTCCTTTCAGCTCCAGAATGAAAGCAACAGCCATTGGCTGCAATCTCTCCCCCATCCAGGGAGAAGCCTTGTGCCATCCCACGTAACTGAAACACTTCATTTACTCCAGGCTGCACAACTATCACCTCTTGCAATGCTCTAATAAACAATGCTGTAAACAGAGCTGACAGATCGACAAGGTCAACCGTGCAACCTAAATTAAGTGCTTTCTGAAGTTTCAACTTCTAGGAACACAAACTTTCATTTAAATCAGAATTCCTGGATTTACTTGCAATTCTTGAAAGGATCTCAGCAGATTGATTTTATCACTCTTACATACACTACAAACAGCTTCAAAACTACAGATTTTTTTGTTCCTGGATGTTCCCGTGCTTAATTTTTATTAAAACTCAGCCAACAGTTTCAACTCATCCTAATCCTCAAACTATTTTATTTTCAGATAATCCAGCCATTTTATTTAAAGTATACAACAAAATTGCAAAGATTTTGAAGTTCAGTATTGGGCAGAGTGTTTCAATTTGTTTTACACTAGGAGTAAATTGAAGCCTTTCATGTGCTCACACACACAGGTTTGTGTGGCTATGTCGATTCATTCTGTGGAATGGAGAAAAACCCAAACCAACCCAAACCCGAACTGATCCAGCACTGCTCTGCCTTTTCCATTCCCTGGAAAATGCAGGTACTAACCACAGCATTTATGTACAAAGCAAGGCTGGTCAGCTCAGGAGCAGGTTTCTGAAGGACAGCAGAGAAATCTAGACACTGCATCAGAGCAATACATTACTTTAACAGCTCTAACAGCATTTCAACTTATTCACCCATACTGTTTTCCCCACAAAGTAAAAATTTAAATGTATTCACCTGAACATAGCATCAGGACCAAAACATTATCCAAAGACGATAAAACTGCTGAAGTCCAAACTCTGGGAATTTTCATAGTACAACATTTCCCCCCCCCAATTTCCACATTTTCTGAAGAAGGCCTTTGCTACTCATGCCCTCTTGCACAGACATCTTATCCCATCATCTCACAATAGATACCTTCTACATAAAACTCAGAGCCCACTTGAAAGTGAGCGAGACGTACAGAGCAGGCAGCCACTCGGTCTCTTAGTTTAAAAGCTTGGTATTGTCTGTGGGCTTACCTAGGGAAAAAAGCAGCACCACACTGTACAATACAATTAAATCCCAGCAGAGACAATAGCATTCATCTTCTCCAGAAGATATAGGACATTTATAGTGATAAGCTACACCCACACTAATTAGACCATGAAGAAAAGTAAACCCCTAACCAGCACTGAGACAAGAAGGGACATTGGGAAGACCTTGTAAGGCCAGTCATTGCAAACCATTCAGGGATTAAACAGCTTGAGGATGCTCGTAAGACTTCAGGACAAACCCAGGCAGCCAGGAGAGCTCTGCTGGGATGAGGCACAGATTTTGTTCACAACTTTCTACAGTCAAGACATTAAATCCAACTGTCCAAAAGTCAATGGCGTCTGTGTTGGATTACGATGCTTTATCCAAACGTGAAAGAAAAATTCTGCTGCAACAGTCTAAAGATGTTTCTTTGCATTCAGCTTGTCCAAAGGATTTAGTAAGCACCTCCGCTTCTTCCTCCTTACAATGCAATTTTAGCAAATCTTAAGTTTCACCACTATTGAGACTAGTCAAAATAACTCAAAAGAAAGTTCTTGTAGGTCAAAGACCCTAATTTCTGAATATTTAAGACACCAGTAACTTACTACAATTTCATACCAAAGTATTGTCCTGCCTAAAATAAGTCATGCCTTTGCATGTCTCAAATCTTTTACAAGTGAAAGCTGACACACTTCTAATCATTTAAATGTAAGAATCTCTTTGTCAGCTTTCAAAATAACTTACAAGGAAGGTAGCTGTATCAGAGCACAAAAGAGTATTGTTTGGTGTGTAGCATATGGCAGAGACTACACAGCCCTGTCGATAGAAAGGCGCTCGGTCAGTGGGCGATGCTATAATCTAAACGAATATAATGTATTTATTTGCTATGCTGATGTTATCCCTTCACAGAAAATGGGTAACTGCCAGACTGCAAGCGGAAGTAATAGCCCCATTAATCAGAAAGACCTAGAAATCTGCTCAAAGCAGTTAGCTTAGGCTATCAGGATACGTCACACCACAAGAAAATTCTAGAAGCAAACCCCTGCTCTATTGGCAGCATCCTGTCATTTATTGGATGCCTGTAGTACTTCATCCTGCAAAAACCACTGGCACTGGCCACAACCATGGTGAAGGAACACAGGTCCGATGTCCTCCATGTCACATAACTGGACCAGCAGCTGGTTCTGCAGAAATGGAGGCGGAAACGTACACAACGCCTCTTGCCGGCACGGACTGAGGCTCCTCAGGGGGCATGGACCTTGGCAGCATGGGTTATTTTTTGACCTACTGACACACAAATGGTGTTGAAGGCAGCTCCAGGTAGACCAGGTTGCAGTAATCCAGCCCTGAGGTTAAAAAGGGACACGGCACCGTTCCAAAGTCCACAAGAGAGGTGTGACTGAGGCCTCGGCCCAATAAAGGAGGGACGAGGCAGTTCAGTCAGGTGTTCCGCTAACAGAAGAATATGGAGCATCACTAAAAGAAACTGTCTATTCCTGGACAAAATGTTAGTCCTCTAACAAAATACACTTTCAGATGATTAGGCAGCAATCATCTAAGACCTCAAACCATTTATGTGGCATGACTCAGACACTTAGAAATTAGATGTATATTCCAAAAACGTACTCGGGCATTAACAGAGCATGCAAGTTTACTAGAACACTTTGAGTACAGTGAAATTTATTAGATTTCAAAGTTTAATCATTGTGTTTTTGTTTCGCTCATTCCATGTGCTTCTGGCAGCAGATGCACTGGCTAATTTCCTCTGCCCAATATTCCTTGTGTAGGAATTAACTGAAACTATGTATGTCTAAGATGACTTAGCAATTTTAATTTTTAAGCACAACTCTGCAGGAATAAAGAACACCTGACTGCTCCACCTCATCCAGCTTAGCAAAATCAGTTTCAGCATGGGAAAAAATAATAAAAAAGAAAAATCAATCACATTATCTAAAGATAGATCAAATTTCACAGTGGATACTTTTTGTCACATAGCTCTAGCCTAGCACAAGCTGTACATTGTAACAGACCGCTCAGAGAAGGGCTTTTTCAGGAAATCATCGACTGCAGCTTCTAAGAATGGCACACAATGCCTATTTATGAACGTAGATATTATTGTCTACTGTTCTTTATACAGGAAGAGGGAAGAGTCTGCACAGATAGTTTGGTTTTAAAGCTAAGTTCTGCACATATACAAACTCACCCTGCCTGAAAGCTTCTCCCTCTCTCAACTCAAAACTGCTAAGGAATTTGTATATATTTTGCTTTCACTGCCCCTAGAGAGGGATAATTTTGCAGTGGATCCAAGCTCTGAAAGAAGGAGCCGACACAAACCAGGATAAATAATGGGGATAGGTGTGGTCATGCAAATGTCAGGTTTAGCTTGCAATTTTAAGGGAGAAAATCTACAGTACGAGCAGCGATTACACCTAGACTAGATGAGCGTCCTGAGCTTGTTATAAAGGATGAGTTCTATTTCTGCAGAATCCAAACAGAACATGTCATTTATTAATTCCTGCATTAATGACAGAATTGTAGAATAATTTATATTAGGAGTGACTGCTAAAAGTAGCATAGTCAAAGTTGATCTAACTAGATCAGGTTGTCATGTCCACTGTAGTCTTGAGCATCTCCAAAAAACACAACGCATCTCTGAAAACTTCAGTTTCTCTGACAGAGAAGTGCTGAACTAGGAAACACAACCATGAGCTTTTAGGCAATATACCAGAGGTCACAGAGCAAGGAAGACAAAGCTTCCAGTCACTGTCTGACACACACTGTTCAACGCTAAGGCTTGCCAGCACACGGACAGAAAACAGCTCTTCTGTTTTAGCACTTGTGGTGACACCCTTGGGAAGACGTTACTGAACAGGGCGCACACAGTAGCTATACCAAATGAGCACCAGGCAGAAGTTACAGTGCTTGGTTTTCCCACCTAGACCTGCCCTTAAAAATGCCATTTAAGTATCAGCAAACTGCCAATTAGCTGATATCTCACACAGCATCCTTACCAAGAGCACCCCACAGGACCCTGTTCATCCTGTGCACAAAAAAAAATATCACAAGAACACAGCCAAATCCAGCACTGCATGTACTACTGATAATTACTCCGCAGGAGTGCCTGAGAGCCCCAGTCAAGAGACAGAAACAACTGTGGTGCCACAATATAGGAGTTTTTTTAATTGGAAGTTCTGTTAATTAAGAGATCAGTTCCTAATAGTTTGAATTATTCTAACAGTAGCCTATTGTCTGAGCAGCTTCGTAAGCTAGACTTTCTGTGCCTAACATTGAACAAAACGGTAAAAAGCCTCTCAATGTTTACTTTGAATTTGATTTTTAAAACGTTTTAATTTAAACCACTGTTACTACCCCCTCCTTTTTTAAAAAGGGATTTTATCATCCTTACAATGCACTCTAATCCCAATGGCAGCTCCCGCCCCCATGGAGGACTTGATTTCTTGCAAAGTATCTGTACTTACAGCACCTATACCCTATTTGTACAGGAGTTTCTTATGCCCTCTGTACTTCCAGATGTATCCACTTACAGCAAGTAGCAACAAAACA